CATTGATGAAAGAATATTCAATTTTGGGCAAACTATGCCTTTAAGGAAGTGTGCTTAAATAATGTTCTTGAAAATCCTGTGTGACACAATCAACGTCTTATTGCCAGTTATGTTTTTACTCAACCAAATGATTCTTTCCTTCTAAAGACTATTTAAAGCAGTGCTAGAAATGAGCAACAGCTTCCAGTCGGTCTCTATTCCATTAGTACTCTACATTCGCTGAGGAGTTGGACTTAGTACATACATTGTAGCTCAGGTAATTCTAGTTTTACACACTATTTTAAGTGTGTGTGATCCATGTCTGGTTTTCTTTACTAAAGGATCATTCCCTTCCAGTACTGCCTCTATGTGTAAGACATAACATTAATGAGGAAAAAAAATTAACTTAAATGATTTTAGCAAATGGCTGCAATATAACAAAGAGTGAAAAATGTAAGGGGGTCTGAATACTTTCCGTACCCACTGTATATAATGATGTTTATGACTGTGGTAGTATCCTTCCTATGTAAAGGGATTGCTATTGAAAACATGCTTGCATCTACATTCAGCATATATTAATTCAGACAGACAAAGAGGAAATCTAGGCTCTATAAAACTATTGAATGACAAATCTTCAGTCTTCAGGATATGACATCAGAATTTGATGTGTGATATTTGGAGGGATAATTTAATGATTTGCTATATCCAGTTTACTTGCTTTCCTAGAATCATCTACAAAGTTTGTGTCGTTACACTCCATATATAGTTCACTATGTTTTGAAATATTGTTGCAATACAATTTGATGTATGCCATTTTTGGTTTAAGCATCTTATGATAACTAGTCCTCCTAACTCTAATGGATTCTATTTTAGTTTTTGCTAGTTTATGAGCATGAGTCGTGATTCACTGTTAGCTCTGTAACACACTCAGGCCCACGTTTCCGAGTATAAAACATTATGCATAGATTGTTTTGTGCATCATTTTATTTATTGTGTGATAGTGTGAACACATCTCTGTAACCGTCAACAACATTATACGTCTATATTTGTTTTAGGGCTTTTATTTAATAAAAGCAGTATAAACGGCAATGATGATGAAAATACAAAGCAATTGTTGATTTTTCTGGTTATGAAATAAATCAAATTCAGATTTTTAAACTAGTGACGATTTAGAGCTCTTTTTGGTTTTGAATATTTGAAACTAAAGAAATGCAGTGAATATACTGCCATAAAGCACCTCTATTGAAATAGACATTACAGAAAGACTAAAAAAAAAAGAGAATGTGTACTTGACCTGGGGCGATTTTATTGCTTCAGCGATTGGCTGGCTCAACAGTACAAAATATTTAGTATATTTCCCTTTTGTCATCTGAATTCCCCTGAAATGGGTATAGTACAGTAAGCAAGTGTGCTAATTAAGTGTTGCATAAATGTAATAATTAGACATACAGTGCACAACATATCATGTAAATGACTCAAGATATAATGACACATTTGTTTTGTGTCTGACATTTTCAAATATTTCTATCTAGTAACTCTCAGTGATTTGATGCAGGTCACAGTAGTTTTTTTTAATTATTATTTGTGCACCTTTAACTCATTTCTCTTAATCATTTGTATCGATGAGGATTAATCCAATTGCATTTTTATTAAATATTTGGGGTCGGTAAGATTTAAAAAAAAAGCTCTTATACTAACCAAAACTGCATTTATTTGATCAATACATACAGTAAAATATTATACATATTACTACAATTAAAAATAACAGTTTTATACAGTATGTTAATATATTTTAAAATGTATTTTATTCCTGTGATATTAAAGCTGAATTTTCAGCATGATTACTCCAGTCTTCAGTGTCACATGATTCTTCTTGCTAATTTGCTGCTCAAGAAATATTTATCAATGGTGAAAAAAAAAATGAAAAAAGTTGTGTTGCTTGATATATTTTTTTAAGGATTCTTTAATGAATAGAAGTTCAAAAGAACAGCATTAATTTGAAATAGAAATGTGTTGTAACATTGTCTTTACTGTCACTTTTGATCAATTTAATGCATCCGTTCTGAATAAAAATATTAATTTCTTTAAAAAAAAAAAATCTTACCGCCCCCAAACTTCTGAACAGGTGTGTGTGTGTCTCAATTTGAGTTTTGTGAGTTTTCAATTTTGGGTGTACTGTCCCCTCCATTCAAGCGATACATGTCAAGTTGTGTGCTAATGGAGAAAATAAGCAATTTTGGCGACACTAGAAACCAAAGACTGATATAATTTGATAGAAAATGCTTGCCCAAAAACTAGAAAAATAGATACTGAACAGCTGCTGCTATAAAGGAAGATTAAGAGACTAAAAGTGTAAAACTTGAGTGGAACAGTAAAAAAAGATAGAAAAAGAAAATTCTTATAAAACATAGTAAAACAAATTAATGCACCGTTATTAGGTTGAGGCCAAGATGCTGGTACAGGTTTATGTAAAATATAAACTTAAATATTGCGAACATCATAAAGCATTTCGCTATTTAAAATGGCATTCTTTCATTTGCCAGTTAAATCTGGCAGTGCATGACACAATATATAACCAACTCATCCTTCAACGGTCTTATATCTCTTTCTAAGAGAATTAGTGGCAGATGGAAACGTTTGTGCTTAATGGAACAGCTTTACCCTTCGTTTCTCGTAAAGTAGATAAATGCTAAAAGTGTCGTCATTGTGCCAGTTCTCTTTTCTCATTTACATTGAAATATATTCTTTAACAATAATTAGTGTCATATACATGTTTGATAAATGCATAAAACGCATATTTGTATTCTAAACCTATTTGATTATTAGTAAAATAAATAGCATTGTCTTGCATTCCACAGACACATTCAACCACATTATGTACAGCAAGTGCATCAAAAACAACAGCATTGAATAAATGAAATATTATCTGACATTAAAAAGCTCATATAATGTGATACATTGGTTCATAGAGAATACAGTGTGCACATTCTGTAGAGCCTGACTGATTTTGGGTCTGATCGAATAATGAGTCAATGACATAAGAGTGTTCACGATAAAAAAATAAAAACTTATATAAAACTAATTTAAAACATGCGTCAAGTTCTTAGAAATGTAATCTTCGTATTCATGTTGGTTTCATATGATTATAAAAAAAAAATTTTCCCCAAAAATTTTTATTGAATGACTTGAAAATCATCATGTGGTGCAATTATCAAGTAAAAAGTAATAACACATTTTCCTCATATGTGTACAACATTTTAATAATTACTTTAAAATCATTTAAATATTATTTTTATATTTATTATTTTTCATTTTTTAAATTAAAAAAATCATGAATTATTAATTCATTAAATATCATCAAGTTTTGGGGGAGTTGCACCACATGACATTTTACAAACAACTAATAACAAAAATATCAAAGAGGTGTATTCAGATCATTTTATGTATTAACTGCTTTCTTTATATATATATATATATATACACATACAGTATGTATATATACATACAGTATATATATATATATATATACAATATACAATATAGTTACAATATTTTAGTATAATATTTTTATTGTATTTTTAAATAAATTATTTTACAGGACAACAATGAGGATCTTTGATTTTATATTTAATTAAAATGACATGGTTGCACCAAAATCAAAATATTAAGATGTTTTGAAGCTGTCATGAAAATAAATCCATTCTTGAACATGTCTGAGGATAAACATTTCCAACTCAATCCTGTCTTTATTTTTGTAAATCCGTAAATTAATTTCAACAGTTTCCTAAATTCACTCTTTGAACTAGAAAGCCCTTATATTGCTATTTATATCCAAAAATAGTAGACAAAAATAGTACTTTAGAAATGAACCTTTTTTGATGCAACACTTTGAGGTAAATACTATATGAAGCAAAGAACACACAGAACAGCACTAGCAGGAAATGATCCAGCCATGCGTTTACTCATTCTATAAGCTCATGCGATATGTGTGTGTCTAAGTGTTCTCAGGCACTAAAATGGATCTATTTGTGACAATGCACATGACATTATGCATGTGCTCACCGTTGCACCTGGCTCTTTTCCATACTGTTTATTAAAGACCAATATATTAATTCAATATCTTGCATGCCTATGATAATACTGACCTACCAATATATCAGTCGGGCTCTACCTGTGGACAGAATTCATTCATTCGTTTTCTGTATTGACAGTCCTGTATAATTTCAAGTGCTAAAAGTTTTAATTAATATTGCTGCACAAGTATTCGTTGGAAAAGGACCAAAAGATGCTTTAAAGGAATAGTTCAGCAAAAAATAAAAATGTACTGAAAATGTACTCACCCTCAGGCCATCCAAGATGTAGATGAGTTTGTTTCTTCATCGGAACAGTTGTGGAGAAATTTAACATTACATCACTTGCTCACCAAAGGATCCTTCACAGTGAATGGGTGCCGTGAGAATGAGAGTCCAAAGAGCTGACAAAAATGTCACAGTAATTCACAAGTAAAACGATTTAAAGTATAAAACGCCTTAATGATGGATTTGTTTCTCACAAACAAACAGGTTTTCGCTTCACAAAACGTTAACTGATGGACTGGAGTCATGTGGATTACTTTTGAATCATTATGATGTTTTTATCAGCTGTTTGGACTCTCATTCTGACGGCACCCATTTACTACAGAGGATCCACTGGTGAGTAAGTGATGTAATGCTAAATTTCTCCAAATCTGATAAAGAAACAAACTCATCTACATCTTGGATGGCCTGAGAATGAGTCAATTTTCAGAAAACTTTAATTTTTGGTGAACTATTCCTTTAAGACATATCACCCACTATAGGAGGAAAAAGAGCTACATACAGAGGTCTAAATACACACGGCTCCGTATAATGAGGATGTGACATTAGCTATGCCACCATAAAGGGCAAAAAAGCACACCATCCCTTAATGGTGTGGAAAAGCACATGGCCTTCAATCAGCCACAAAGTAAAAGAGGTGGATGTTGAACATCCTCAGAGGCTTCGACTGGTGGCCAGTCTGATTATAACAGTGAAAGAAAAGCAATAAAAAAAAAAACAAGAGGACCTTTATCTTTTTTTCCTCCACAGTCCTTCAAAAAACATCCTGACCTTTTATGTGTTTTTTTTTCCTGCCCATTGCTGCCCCCTGTGGTCAGTTATGGTCATTGCATGGTCAGCCAGATCCAGCAGGCCCAAACGATCTGTTTGAACTGAAGCAGGTACACAGCCAGTGCCGTCTGCAGCTCTTCGCAGGTGCGCTGGGGTCTTCGGCGGTCCGTGCAGTACAGTGCTAGACCCAGCGCAGACAGAAGCAGGAACAGGCAGGTGAGCAGGGCCAGGTGCAAACGGCTCTGGGGGGTGTCGTAGACTGGAACACAAAGTCCAAAAAGATTTGGGTTGAAATACAAAACTTGTTGGCTGTGAACTAAAGTTGAAAAAGTGAAAAAGCATAATAGCACCCCTTTAAAACAGAGCCACATGACCTGCAGACAAACACATATGGCACAGGAACGAGCGCACTTGACGATGAATGAAATGAAATATGCTGTGTTTTCCGCCAACTGGCAACCCGGGGTGCCGAAATACAATTGGGTAAACTGGCAGTGGGCGGGTTTCACAAACCAAAACAGAGACCGACATTCCGGCCTGGAACGCACATTTTCAAAGGAGGATAACTGACTATAGCATTGTTTTTCAGATAAAGAAATATGTTAACTTAGCATGTTTCTTAAATATCTGCAAGCATATTATGGTATTTTTATGCTTTGGTAGAGTCAAAAACTTACATACATCACCTTTAAGAATGAGTTTGTTTTATTAATTTGTTTCTTCATTTTATCGTTTATCGTTAACTATCGTTTTAGTTAAATCATGGCCACAAATTAAAAATGAGTTCTCGCAACTTATTAATTAGTTCTATAGTATTTGTGATTGTGGCCACGGTGTACTACTTCTTACCCTCATTTTGATTTATTAAAACAAGGGAATTAATTAGTACAACGTTGCCATGATTTACTAAGGAGGAGTTTATACAACACCATTTTCAACTAAAAACAGAAAACTTATGCGTTTTGGCCATTCATTTACACGACAACAGTGTTTTGAGGGCCTGAAAAGCAAACTTTTGAAAATGGGTTTCAAAGTGTACTTATCCATTTTTAGTACATCGTTGTTGTGTAAACGTACCCTAAATGGAGGGGAAAAATTAGTACAACATGGCCACAGTTTACTAAAACGAGGGAACAAATTCTTAATTTGTGACCACAATATATATATATTTTTCCTACATGTCATGTGCAGGGCTCCGTAGTAATTCTTTAAATGTGCTCTAAGCATTTTTCTTCTAATGTTTTTATTACTTTATCATTTCAATCAATTTGCACATTTACAGGCCATCCCATACACTGTACAGAAAAAAAGCAAACTGCGAGCATGCTAGTTAGCTGTTAGCTTGTCTCGTGAGAGGCTATTTTGCTAACATTGCTTTAGATAACACTGACATTACGTATAAAAAATAATAATTTGATGCACATTATCTGTATTTTAGACAGCAAAAACAACCTTTATTAGACCAAAATTCCGTAACTGTTAGCTGACAATCTAGATGAATGTATCGTTTATATGGTTTTCTAAGAATGGGACACTACGTTTTATTCAAATGAATATTGACAAAATATTTTTCATACATTTTGGCTTTAAAAAGATGCCGTAAACTCACAAACTGATAATTACGGACTTACAGAAGTGGGAAGAATGAAATTTCCAATATCAGACGAAGGCAGCATTATTTACTGGATAAGTCTAGGGGAATTCCACAAGTGCTAAAACTGCTAACTGCACTTTTAACCAAAAAATAAAAAGGTAATTTTCTTTTGGTTGTACATGCATGATATACCTCAGTGAAATATTTCAAATAGCCAAAGGCAAACTAATTGTAGCTCCATTCATGTAAACTTATAAAACCACAGCAAAGGGCTACTTATAAATGCTCAGGCTGTTCTGAGTCCCAGATTTCATGCAAGAAAATCATGCATCTTTTCATGCATTTTAGAGATCCACCACACTGTCCAACATATTTCTTATCTACTTACCTCCGAAATATTCATAGTACGGAATGTCTGGAAAGCCAACATAAAAGGTAACAATGGTTTAGGTTTAATTTAGGCAAAATCTTTGTAAAACCAATAACCATTCATACAACTAAAGGTGCAGGCACATTTACCGCTCCACAAAATCCAGGCATTTCAATAGCAATCCACACAATCTGGAATTTCGCATGAGGGCAAAAGATTTCCCTGACGCAAATTGGTCACACCTATTCAAATTGGTCGCACCGATTTGCCACATTGAAAAACAGAATGCTGCTTGGTTCATACATCACTACAACATTGACGACTGACAAAGGACCTTTGCTTGTGAAATTTCACTAATGTGACCGCACTTAAATCTTTGGAGACACGGGAGCACCTGACCTTCATTCATACTGGGTTTTGCAATAAGCTCGAGAGAAAGACAAACTGTGCATCTAAACAAACTACACTGGTGCCCTGAATTACTATCTTCCTTAATTCCTTAAATTAAATTCCTCGTTTCATTAACAATAACAGTGTTGTTGGCACAGATTGCACACTAACTAATTTGCATGTATAATTAATCTGGAAAGTAAATCACTTGGGTATGTTTGTGCATCCTTTTTTTTTCTTTTCAGTTGATTCATTAACCACAGACCTCAATGAGAACAATCTTTTGCAACCCACTTCAACATGTTTCATTTACTTTACTATTTTCAAGTGCCAGCTCTTAATAATGCAGAGAACCACTTTAAAGAACGGTTCAAAGAGTCTCTGGAGATTTTATGGACTGCTAGAGCAGGTTTGTTTGAACTCTCTCACCATGAACAGTGATCTCCGGCTCTCTGAAGCGAACCCGCCTCTCGCTTTTTCGCCTGCGCGATGAGTCTGACTCCACATTGCTCACATTGGACCTTTTCAGAATAGAGGTGGGCAGTTTTTCATTTATGACCTGAAATCAGAAAAGACAAAACTATTGACTTCCAGAATGTTTGATAGAGGCGATATAAAGTCATTTGACTGTGGCAGTAGATTCCTATAACTTTACCTCCTGATTGCTAAGACCTTTTGACATTAACACTCATTTCATGTGACAAGATTGTTTGCAATAAAATGTCATGACATTTTAACAGCAAAAAGAAGAGTGAAAAAATAATGTGATTTACACAAGGATGTTGGCCCAAAAACACGTGGGTTGTGGGTCAATAATGTGACAAATGTATTAATTTATTCAAAAATACATAAAAAATGTATTTCATACTGTAAATATGTAAATACCATGACTTGAATACACAGTCAAAAATGTCAGGACGATACAAATGTCATTATTTTGTAATGAAGAAAAAAAAAAAGAAGAATCTGATAATATTAAACAATTTGATCTATTTTATGACAAGGTAAGGTTACCTCAGGTCGTAAAATGTCATTTGGTGCAACTCCTAAAAAACTTACATTAATTCATTATATTTTCAAAAGTACTTTTTACTTTGAAAGATATACTGTAAAATGTTTTTGAAATGAATGAATGTGTACACACTACACAGGTGTATATGTTATAGTTTTTTACTTGATGGTTACACCACATGACATCTTCACTGAATTTAATATTTTCTTGCCAATATCAAAGCTGTTGAAAACCATATTAAACCAACATGAATGCAAAGAGTACATTTCTAAAAAATTATATTTTTCTTTTTCTTTATCATGGTGTCAGTGTCAAGTGTCATTGGCTGCAGTATTACCTTCGTTTTAGGAGTTTCCTGTTGTATGTATGGCTCTTTTCTGTGTCGCAGCTCAGAGTGTCTGTCTTTATGGCTATGAGAGATGCTACTCAAAGCATCGCTGAATGACTCGGTGGCTGAGAACCTTTTGGAAAGAGTCGACACACACTCTCCCAATGAATCTGTAACATAAAAAGCACTTCACAAACTGCAGAACAACATATTTGACATCACATCAGCAAAAGGCAATACGCATATTTATTTCTGGTCGGAACAGTTTGCATGATGAAACTAGTTTAGCAGAGAATAATTTAGCATTGAAACTATGACACAGTGGCACGCAGGTGACATGTTGTGGCGAAAGCATTTTCTCTCAGAAAGCTGACTCTGCAGCTGAGTTTGACATTCATGACACATTGCTGCCCTATACAATACATTTTTCATCGTCCAGGAAAACGGCAATAGGGAAGACGCAGAACGTCCTGTCCCTCCAGAAAACTAGCAAAGCATTTCTGCTTACAAAAATGCCCTGGCCTCAAACTGTCAAAGACACGACATGGCTTTTCTGCCTGAGATCTAAAACGCCATCAGCTGCAGACAGAAAGTGCATGCTTGGAATAAATGTTTACTCATTCAGGCGATTTAGCTCTGCAGTTTTTTTTATTGTACAGAACTATGTACATTAGACTTAGATGTAACACAATTTCCTTGCTTCCTCACTAAGTGGAAGGAGTAAATGGCTCTATATGAGTAACATTCTCAAATGGGCTTTCACTAGAAGCTGCTTCCAAGCTACTGCTATGACAATCAGAACACTTTACTAAGGATATGAAAGGCTGTTGGGTTGTATGGGCCTAGAATGTACAGTAAATTGCAAATCAGATGTACTTAAATAAGCTTTATACAGATTTACCATATAGCAAATGACTGTGGTAACATGGTTCTGTAAATAGCCAGCCACTACTGTCATAAGAAAAATAATAAATTATAAATAAATCAAACTAAATTACAGAAATCTAATGTTTTAAAGCAATAACATATAGCATTTGCTGAAAATTTACCATTCAAAATGTAGATTCGTTTTATTTTTTCATCAGAACAGATTTGAAGAAATTTTGCATTGTCACTTGCTCACCAATGGATCCTCTGCAGTGAATGGGTGCCGTCAGAATGGGAGACCAAACAGCTGATAAAAATCATCACAATAATCCACAAGTAATCCACATCACTCCAGTCCATCAATTAATGTCTTGTAAAGACAGTTTGAAGTTAAAAAGTCTTGATGTATTTGTTTCTTATAAACATGCAGATTTTTGCTTTACAAGACATTAATTGACAGACTGCAGTCGTGTGGATTACTTGGGCTCTCATTCTGATGGCACCCATTCACTGTAGAGGATCCATTGGTGAGCAAATGATGTAACGATAAATTTCTCCACAACTGTTCCGATGAAGAAACAAACTCATCTGTATCTTGGATGGCCTGAGGGTGAGTACATTTTCAGCATTCTTTAAAGCATTTAGAAAAGAATTGTTAATGCTGTAAAATCATAATGGTTTTACAGCATTAACGATTCTTGTAGTAAATATGAAGGATTTTGTCAGAAACTATGCTTGAGGTACATTTTTATAAGGACAATTAGCCTTCTGTAATTGATGTAATGTTTTCAAAATCATGTTTTAGTGCCGATTTGATACTGAAGACATTTTCCATAGTTACTTGTATATTCTGTTTTGCCGATCTCAGCATAGACAGTGGCCAGCAGCTCCAGACTCCGGGCTGTGATGGGGTGATCGTTACCAAAAGCCCTCTGGTGGATTTTAGTGGCCTAATGGGAATAAATGAGAGAAATTACAATTACTTTGACATTTCTTCAGACTTTTCCTCTTTAAAAGCCTTCTGTCATATTGCATATAAACTAAAACACAATGTACGTACCTTGCCACTGTATTCTAAAGCAAGGTGGGGTCTGAAAGCAATTGAGAGTGACACAAACATTAGAAATTATTGTCCAAAATTGTTATTTTGCATGTGTAAAATTGTTCTTGACATCAAATTCAAGAAAAAAAAAATATTAAAAAAAATAAAACTACAACTGATATTATTTCTAGTTCCTTTATCACACCAGAAAAGAGAGGTCAAATGCATTGCATTGTGGGATACAATATTCCTTTCAGAGTGTTTCATGCATACACAGTGTGCAGTGTACATAGTGCGTAAAAAACACTGGAAGCATGTAGTCTGAACATTACTGAGCACATGTCTGTCTGTTTACTGCATGCGGGAGAGAGATTCATGCACATGTTGTCTATCATCAATCAGCAAATCTATATCATTGATTACGCCTTCAGGACTTGGTTGACCTTTTTCTCTTACTGCAGTCATAAAGAGTGAGAGAATAAGAGTGTATTTGCAAAGAGGGTCCAGTATAATATCACATATTTCAACATAATATAGTAGACAGATCATTAATATTGATATGTGTTCTGTGAGCAACAGCGATAACAGTCCATCTGAATATATAAGTGGAGATCAAAGCAAAGCCCATAATACTTACTGTACGTGAGTATGAGTCTGTTCAGTCTGTATAAGCATGTTAAGATATAACTATCGCCTTGATATCAAGTTTATTTGCTTGTCAAAACTATTACAGCAGGTCAGTATTTATAAAAGGAAGTGTGAGTGAGAGAGAGAGAGAGAGAGAGACTGTCAGGCAAACACTTGACATTCACTGGATCTCTCACTTGCTATAAAACCTTATATAACTACTCTCTTGACATACACATCTAAATCATTGTTTTTTAATTTGATTATATTTGATTATAATCCCACTTTTTCAAAGTATTTCTTATATATATATATATATATATATATAAGTCGCTTTGGATAAAAGCATCTGCTAAATGACTAAATGTAAATGTATATATACATATATATACAGATAATTTTTTCATATTTTAATAATATTTTTAGAGACTTACTGACCTTGATACAAGTAATGAGGGTCAACAGTTGTCATATCTTTGGAATCATTTCCTGTTGCATGTATGTATGTATGAATGTATGTATGTATTTATTTATTTATGTTTCTGCATGTTAGTTGGACCCCATGACTTTTTGGTTGCCCCATATTACTTTCTTCCTTTTTTATTTAATTACCAATCACGATTAATCAGTTTGACAGCATTTCCTATAAACAAATGATAAAAAGCTTACAAAGAGTTTAAAAACCTAATTAAAAATGATTATTTTATATTTTAATCCAATTTTGTGTAAAAAATATCACTTCATCATGGAAATGGAAGGCCAGGATGCATATGTTGCATTGTGTACAGTATACAGCATGCTCTTGTTCATACTTTAAAACTTGGTAAATGTTGCATATTACAGTTTTTCTCAGTCGCTTTGCTGCATTTCTCGAATCATCCTTAATATTTGCAAAGAAGTATATGCATTTCTAAAAACAATTCGTACAAACAGCACCACACAATGGATTACCTGCAAAAGCCTGTAACTTACTCAAAATCTTTAGTTCATCTCTCAAAAGTAAGTATTTATGTCAATGAACATATCAGTGCCATCAGAATGAAAAGTCCTTGGGTCATAGTTCACAAAGAAGATAGTCAAAATGCTTAGTCATGTTGTCAATATAACAGTGCACTCTGTTAGTATCACCTGATGTAAACTGTGCCAACTGTTTGGAGGACAGATACTATATTGAAACGCAGAAGGCTGCACTTCTTATGTATGCCATATATCCATTTCAAAAGTACAAATTTACAAATTACTGTATGTGGGATATTGATTGAAAGAGACTGGATTCACACTTACACTTTTACTATAGTGGTCTGACAAAAAAAAACAAAAAAAAAACCTTACAACATCATTGTAATATAGAAAAGAAAACGAAATATGGGCACGAAGGCAGAAATATAAATGTAGACAGGCAAACACAGGAAACACCCCTTAGGTAGAACTTTGCTTTTGCATGCAGCACTGTACGAGGAATTTCAGAGATCTAGTTTATCATTGGTTGATCCACATTCTCTTCATTAGTGAAAGTCAAGATTTACCCGCACAATTCATGGCAAATTTACAATAAGACTAATAGAAATGTGTAGAAAATATGCTTGACAGTTTATGACAACTGGATCAATCATTTTGCATTCAATGACTTAGACGATGAACTAATGACTGGATGTTTTGAGGGGTAAGATTATTGCACAGAGAACTATATAATACATTTTGAGCAACATGACAACAGCAACTGATAATGTAGGAAACCGCAGACAGATGTACATAATCAATTGCATGAAGGTACCAAAGCAATCGCAACTTGTTCAAAAGAATTAACTGCTTTAATGATGTGCACAAGTGACTAGATGATGTGGAGGTTGAACAAGTAGTTTTGAGAATTTCATTTCTGATCTGAGAAATGCACCAAAGTGACTGAGAAAACATGCAACTTTTTTTTGAACATGCACTTGTAGTGTACTGAAAAAATATTAAAAGTATATTCAAAAAAACTGTACGTGCATATATTATAATATTAATATAAATAAAAGGCCACATAAAATAGAGTATAAAGAGAGTGTACATTTTAAAAAAGTGCACTCTGTTAAATTTTACTTTGAAGTACACAAAACATTTTTTGTTGTACAATTTTCTTGTGTTGACTAACATATTAAAGCACATGTACTTGCTTTATTTTATTTAATTTTAGCATCTATCATTTTATTTTTGGCCAATCACAGCACACCTTGCTTTTTCAGACCGATGAGCTTTGTAAAAATCGACGCGTTTCAGAAGGCGGGGCATAGAGGAGAAACAATAATGTACAGTATGTGGAAAATAATGTGTTTTTTTAACTTTAAACCGCATAAACACATTTCATTACACCAAATACACAAAATAATGTTCTTTTTAGCAGCATCATATGACCCCTTTAAATGCAATATATTTTTTATGTACTAAATTTCAACTTTATCATTACAAACGTGTAACTACAAATATATTTAAATACATGACATACAAGTTTCAATAGAAATGACATTAAAGTATATTTTAGTTTACCACAAATGCTTGTCAATAGATTTGGCAGTACACTTTAACCGCATTTCAAAATAGAACTATTTATAAATCCTTTTCCACAAGGTTACGCATCCAGAAGATTCACATACAGTATACATTTACTGTATAAATAGCATGAGGAGTGAATATTCCCCTCCTCCTGTAAGTCATCACATGGTAAACACATGACTCATAGGGTTCAGTACATATGAACATCTGTTACAGAAGCCCTAGGCTATGTATAAAACTAACACAGACAGATTTAAATAACAAAGACATGCATGATGAACTACACCGGCACCAATGAAGTGCAAACAATGTGCATCCTTTATATAAATCCTCTGTGACTCACAGTCAATACCATATTTTATCCATATAGATTCTGTTCTGCTAACTCTATTTTTACCACAACTACAAATAGTATCGGGAAGCTGTTGTAAAAAAAAAAAAATAATAAATTAGAGCACATAGGCATAAAGCTCCATTTGAGCCCACTGGCCTGCACCTTTGCTTTATTTAAGCACAGATCCAGAAAGCCACAGCACAGTCAGGCTCGCCGAAGCATGCGGATCCATTACAGCACCCGTCACAACAAATCCGGGCACACGTGTGCTGTGATTCCTACTGGAGCTAGTGGAAATGTGCCAGAGATATGGCACGCTCTTCTTTTTGGCTGGAACTCCTGGCATGTGTGTGAAGAACGGTGCTATTTGGATGGGCGACAGTTTGTCCTCAGGGTGTACATTGAGAAATGTCCTAAGGATTTCGGATGGAAGTTTTTCCTCATGTGATCATTTAGCACTACATGGTCCTGATTGCAGCACTATTGTTTGATAAAATGACTTGTCTTGCACTTTAAATTCCTATTTTTTTTTTTTTTTGGATATAGGTCAGGAATTCAATATTGATTCCTTCTCATATTCTTAAAGTTCTGAATGTCATGTTTTTATACTCTTCCATTCTTCTCTCTTGAATGTACAGCATGTTTTTAAAGCCAATACATATGTCAGCGTGGTTATTATGGTCCTACGTTAATTAATAATGACTAGGTGTTGGTTTGCACTGTTTTGGATTGTCCTCAGGGGACATTTGATCGGACACAACATGGCAAAGCTCTCAGCTACAAGAGCACTTCCTGCCCCGACACTGAAAGATTCAAGAGGCCGAACCACTTCCTATTCACTCCATAGGGCTTGCGCTACATTTTGTGTCATAATTATCAGACCTAATGAAGTAAATGTATTTGTTACCTTAAAAATAAATACAACCACATTTTGGGTTATTAGGGGGAAATAAATCAATGGACATGAAATATTGATTTAAGAGTCAATGATATGAGTGTTCACTGTCCACGATAAATAGAATTCTAGTTTTTTTTCAAAGGCCTTAGAAATGTACTTTACTTTTTCAATAAATAAAAAAAGTACCAAGTAAAAAGTAATAACATTGATTACATACACATCTTAATCAATATTTTATCATATATATATATATATATATATATATATATATATATCATGAATTATTAATTCATAATTATCATTACATATTTGGGGAGTCAAACCACATGACATTTTATAACCTGAACTATCCGTGTCTTGTCTTAAAATTGTAAGATAATTTTTAGAGACTTACTGACCTTGATATAAGTAATGAGGGTCAACAGTCGTCATATCTTTGGTATAATTTCCTGTTGTATGTATTTATTTATTTATGTTTCTGCATGTTAGTTGGACCCCATGATTTTTGGTAGCCCCATATTACTTATTATTTCTTTCTTTTTTCATTATTCTAAGAAATAATGATAATAATATTATGCCAAAATACTTCATAAGGTTTTCTGATCAAGAATTTCATTCTGTAAATTATTTATTTAATAAATCATTTATTTTTTCATTATGATATCAGAACAGTTGATCAGGACTGTTTTTCAGGACACGTTTTAGCTTTATGCCCCCCAAAATATCAATATGATTTCTTACTAACAAAGTCATGTGGTCCAACTAACAGGTCAAAAAATGACTCTTGAGATGATATTTCTTCATAATTGGAGACATAATGAGATTGTGTGATCTTGCTTAGTTGTTTGGGTGTTTTTAAGCTGAAATACAACTTCAACCATGACTGCTGTCCTAGTTGACCAACAGATCTTGAAGATCTACCCTGCTCAGGTTTCAACAGTTACTTGACCCAAAGAGTTTAAGGGATTACATACAAATGGTGTGGATACCTCCACAATTCATTGTCCTGTGAAACACTATCTTATTTGGGAAGCAATAAAACAATCTCGTTCTCATTCAAGTTTAATGTCATCCTCTCTCCTGTGGCACCAGCAAGCTGTCTCCTTCCCTGAGACAATCAGGTTAAATGCTTTAAGTCCCCAACCAGTGCCAACTGTGGGTCATAAATGTCCTCAAATGTATGTGGTAGAGGCCTTACAAAAGAGCGCCTCATCATGTTAAGCCCCCGGAGGAAAGCGGACACCTCAACTCAGAGTGACCCAGTAACATTTGAAACCGTGAAACTCACATAACACAAGTCACCTTCCTCTCTCTCTCACTCTCTCTCTCTCTCTCTCTCTCTCTCTCTCTATTTAAAAAAGTATTTTTTAAGTCAAATCAGGTAGAATCTGCTTATAACTGAAATAATGGAATGTTATTTGAATGTTATGTTGTCAAACTGTATATATTTATATATAATGTATATCATATCAAATATACAAATAAAATATATACACCCACACAACAAAACATTCAAATAATTCAATATACTGTATAATATTCAATAATTCAAATAAATTCAAATAAGTTATATTACATTTAAAAAGTATTATATTTATATTATTTATATTATAATATTTGTATTTAAAAATAGAATCTGCTTATAACTGAAATAATGGAATGTTATTTGAATGTTATGTTGTCAAACTGTATATATTTATATATAATGTATATCATATCAAATATACAAATAAAATATATACACCCACACAACATAACATTCAAATAATTCAATATACTGTATAATATTCAATAATTCAAATAAATTCAAATAAGTTATATTACATTTAAAAAGTATTATATTTATATTATTTATATTATAATTGTATTTAAAAAAAAGTATTTTAAAGGACAAATCAGTTAGAAATTATGCTTATAAATAAACTTTTTATAAAATAATTAAAACATTACACTTTAATAAAGCCAGTAACGTTGGATGTTACCATATGAAACAATTCACTCTCCAAAAGTACAGATATTTTATTTTTTTCGTATTTATGTTAAATGAAAAGTTACTACAGCAACAGTCAAATATTTCTTGAATGAGACATAAACAAGATGTACAAGTGTGGACAGTCAGCACAAATAATATGACTCTGCCAAATTGTATTTCTCCGCCAAATTGTGTAAGACCAGCTGAATGCATCTTCCTAAATTTTGTATCTAGACTATTAGTGCCCATTAAATGCCCTCTATCACGGAAATTACTCTTACTTGCTATATTTTGCATGCCAATTTTGTCAGAATTAGTCTGCATGCTGTATATATGCAGTATCATTTTCACAGTCAGTTCAGTCTCCTACCTTTTGCTCATGACGCAGAGCTGAGCCAGTCTCTCAAGATCCTGGGCCTGTGAAGCCTGTTCTGATAACTCCTCTTGAGACAGACATCCTGACGTTCCCAATGTTCCGTCTTCCTGAGACCCTGATTCACACAAAGTCTGTCAGAAACCTCACAGCACTCACAGAGACTCACACGTACAGAGACAACAAGACTGTGACAGGAGTGAAAAAGACAAGAGAGGAAGGGAGGGAGGGGGTGAGAGGAGAGACGGCCGATCACACCCACAGATTCAAATGCTCTCACAAGGAAATGAGACGCATGAAAAACAGAAGATTAAGAAGACCAGCTGGAACAACCAGCTTGGACCATTCAAAGAAGACAATTTCAAGAAAATTACAAAGCAATAAAATCATCTGCCTGGCTACCAATGAAGACCTGAACCCCTACTGTTTCTGAAATCCAGCTTAATAAAGAGTAATTCCTTTCTCATTTTTTTCATCTTCATGTTGTCCCAAACTTTCACACCTTTCTTTCCTGAAATGAACACAAAAGGTGACATTTTGAAAAAATATACTGGCCACTCTTCAAATGTCAAAATTCTCTAAAGTTACAAAAAGAAAAGCAAATTCCAAATCTTCTGAAGTCAAACTATCATTTTGTGTGAGGAAGAGGCTGAAATTTTGCCTTACATTGTCACTGAAATCGCGACATCCGCTATAGTTCTCCCTTGCACATTCATGTGAGTACCAGAAATAGTGATGTCTTATGCGTAAATAAATGGTTCTTCTGAGTCATATCTTTGTCTCCTTTTGTGTTCCATGTAAAAAAGAAAGTCACACAGGTTTGGAATGACATGAGGGCAAGTAAATTATTCTTTTTTGGGGTGAACTAATACTTTATTAATGAAATGATGCATTTTAACATGAGACAAGCGTAACAAAACCAGCAAGAAACCTTTCTAAAAGTTACAAAAGTGTCCAACTCCTGTCATGTAAACTGGTATCAATTTTGCACAATATGCAGAACAATGCCAGAAAGAGACTGAGCATTATGAAACTCTCTGTCTTTTCTTTACTGTTTAGACTTCCATTGTAATGTCCAATATTTCACTGTAATTTTAACTGGAACCTGGAACAATCCTTACTTATCCCATGAACTGGTAGAGAGCAATATTCTGAATCTAATTAGAACTACACAGTAAAATAATGATGAAGTATACTTCGTTTTTATGTTTACAATAAGGAATGCGTATGGTGAGCATGATACAAATTTTGTCTTTAACACAGTATGCGTGCATTATGCTGATGATGAAAGTTGCGTTGCATGCACTGTACGCATTCCCTAGTGCACGCATAAGAACAGCAGTATACTTTTGACGTCACGTCATACTGCAAAAGTCGAAAGATGTGAGCATGTGCATGTTTACATAGAAACTAGTGCATGTTTACATAGAAAAACAATGGCAAATTAGTGCAAAAACACGTTTCTGTGTGAACGGCCTCTAAGAACCGCACTTATGTATTCAAACCCAACTTTATTAAACAGGATCGATAAATCTGTTGAATGCAGCAGACACCATATCACTATATATACAAAGAAATTCTCAGTTTATCCCGTGTATGATGCATGATGGGAACTGAACAAGGTTTGGGCCAGAGGGAGGAAATCAAAGCAGCATTCGCCCAAAACGCTGAATCAGGCAGCGTTTCCAGGGTACTCAACAGCTCTTTAATGAGGTAATGTATAGCGTGGTCATATATCTCCCTAGGCTCCTGCATCTCTGCCCATGCTAGAGATCTATGCTGTCTCAGCAGCCTGCAGACAGCCAGAGGAATGGCAGACATCCACCATGGGAGGAGATCGATGGGTCTCCTTCGTCCATAAATACCGGTGCATCTCAGGGCAAATAAAGATGGACCTCTGTTAAATATATTACTGCTCTCCGACAGGACCTTGGGGACAGGTTTGTTGGGTCAGTTTTCAGTGTTTTGTGGTAGTAGGCTTGACGCCTTGCTATTTATTTGCTGCAAACTTGTGGTTAATTTGTGCTAATGTTTGCAGGAAGTTTGCCACAGGGATTTGTCACTTTGGCCAAGGAACTAAGGTTTGGAATGGACAGAGATTCTTATTTAATTAATTTTATTGAAAGTATGCTGGCTACATTGCTATGCCTGAAAGTGACTGGGTCTCATTCACTAATAATTTTGTGGATTATTTAGTATTTGTATTCACAGGATAACTTGCATACATATACTAATTAAAATTTCCGCATAATTAACCACACATGCACAAGTACATGAATTTGTTCTTAGCCTTGTTCTAATGATAATGAATTTGGAGCATTCCAGATGAGCCTGATGTTAGTATAATTTACACTATAATTAGTATAATTTATACTATAATTTATATACAACATGCCCAAACCGTCTCAATATCAGGGCTTTCTGCAAAATTTTTTTTTATCAATTTCATCACTCGCATCAAACTGCCAAATGTGTTGTCCTCAAAACCATTTCAAACACTTTATACAGACCTCTCATTAGCCAGCTGTACAAACATGTATCTGATAATGCAGCTTTCCTTATGCTTTCACTGTATATGATGAAATTTATTTAAGATTAAATATCTATTGCATCTTAAGACGATTATAAGGCCACCCAGAGTATGTGATTTTTGTGCAAGTTTTGGTTCCAGTTATTCCTACATTTGTTCGTTCATTTAGAATAAATTTTAGTCTGAAAGTTATTGGCGAAAGATTAATACGCAGATTTCATGCACAAATTTGTGCATATGCATGCTTAGTGAAAGAGACACTGGCTGCGTCTTAAATCACATGCTCTCTGAGTAGGTACTTCTATTGAATAAGTAATTACTTTGTAACTTTTAAAAAAAGTATATTATATATATAGTATGATTGTGTGTAATTTAATCCGGATGTACTACATTCACCAAGTTACAAGCGTCAGTTGCATTGCTTCACTGTCATTCACAAATTCTCTCCCGTGGACTCATGGGATAGTAAAGTGTCCACTGGATGTGAACTTCAGAATCTCGCCGGAAGCAGTAGGTTGTCCAGGAACTTTTCACTTACTGTTTTATGAATACTGTCAATTTGCACATACTCATTTTACATAATGTTTTTTTGCTTGCTATATAGTAGGGAAGTATGTGATTTAAGATGCAGCTCTTTAAGTGATTGAATCATTTACTGCAAGTACAGATTCATTCAGGAAACAAGGGAAATATGAAAACTGATGTAATTTGGTTATATTAGATGCACCTTGTAATTCTTAAACATGATTTCTACATTGTAAATGCCACATCTTGTAAACAAACAACCATGTAAAAACATACCTGACAAATTTAAGTCAATAATAATAACAGAGCCATTTTATGCCATTTGCGTTGCTCTTTGAACTGAACATTTACATTCCCTTCTAATTGGAATTTAGCTTAATATGGCAGAATACCCTATAAAGACTACTTCACAGGGTACTTCGATTGGAACGTACCTAATATCTTTATGAATCATTCACTGAACCGATTTGTTCATAAACACAGACTACTGTTTATAGGTTGATTTAGCTTTGGATTTGTTTGGAACTTTTTCACTGACAAAGCAAAAATACACAAAGTAATAGGCAAAATTATTGTGTTTGAAATGTAAGTTACTCACTATTAACTTGTCTGTTGAACCACTGTCTAAAGTAGATGTATAAAACACACTCTCTGAATCAAGCTGCTGTTCTGAATGCCGTGTTTGTGTGATATTGCCTAAATACATTATTGTACATAGCTATGATGAAAATGTCTAATATATTATGATACATGCTGACCAAAGAGTCACATGTCCACTCAACAGCGCCATAAAAGAAGCATTTAAGTAAATCCATAAAAAGTGGACCTGCCTGTGCTGGCCTGCAGCGAGGTGAGCTCGATCAATGCCACTTCGTAGAACATCTTCTCTGCCTGAATGAACTGCAGAGCTTTCCCATCTGATTTTATACGGGTGAAGGATTAGACATGCTTGTCACCAGGAATAGTTTCTTGTTATGATCGCACACATCGCCCAGTTACTCAAACTCAGTGAAATCCTGATTTGTTCAGCTGCTAGCATCACAAGACAATTTAAAACTGGTGTTCACTGAACCATTAATGTATCATATAAACAGAAAAACAGTCAAACATAAAATCACCAGGGCCGGATTAACATAAGGGCTAGGCGGGGCTGAAGCCCCAGGGCCCGCGGATTGAGGGGGCCCGAGGTGATTGGCTGTGGAGGAAAGGAAAATTAGACCTAGAATTGATTGGCCATCGGGAGCACAGGAGCTTTTCCCGGTTTGCCGATTGCCGAAATCCCACCACGCCCCCACATATTAGTGTCTGCGCTATTTCATTCCAAAAGATATGAGCGATAAAACATTTTTTGTAGGCTACTTGTTTACACTAGAGTTGTGGGTATCTTTTAAGCGCCTCAGCTTTACTGTAGCGCATGGGAAACAAACACTAAAAGCCAAGTGATGACCGGTTTCTACCGCCGGCACAGTGCTGACAACGACTGCAGCTCGACGCTTTCGCCGCTCTATTGAAGTGATAATAAGCAGCGCTTGCCCCTAATAATAAAACTATATAAACTAAACTCCTTAAGGGAGCTGTATATGCTCAAAAGTTGTTGCTGCTTCTGGAAACCTGTTTGCTTTGACTTCATATATCTGGTGTTATTGTATTTATTCTTTTAATGTGTTGCCTGGAACATTTAGTGTGCACATTGTATCTCTGTGTGTTGGAGATTAAAAAAATAAAATAAAATAAAACAAATTATTCCTGTTGTAGAAAACGTTGTGGCACCAAGGTAGGCTACTATGAAGGGGGGCCCTTGGGTTTGCTATTGTAACGGACGGAACACAGGAAGCGTGCGGATCCATCTGCAAGGCTTTATTAACTGAGACGTGGTCAAAAACAGGCATAGGTCAGACAATGGCAAACAGGTATATAGATGGCAAGGCAAGAGGGATAATCAAGGTACTCGACACTTTCGCCGCTCTATTGAAGTGATAATAAGCAGCGCTTGCCTATTTAAATTCCACACACGACACTTATATTTGAACAGTAAAGTCTCTGTGGTGAAGTTAGCGGAAACCAGACCATGTAAACTGAAGTGTAGAGGTAAACTGTACAAAACTGTAAATAAGCAATTTAATCCACAGCACCACACCTAGGCTATTTAACATGCATTTACTGACACTGTAGAAATACGGTTAATGATATTTATTATTAATGTCACAAAAATTGTAATAGGATACTTATAGCCTATTAAATATTGGTTCAAATAACGGCAATAAGTCAATTTTATAAAGGTTTACTAATACTAGTTAACTCTGGATTCAAGAATTAGCGCTTTTCATAGGGATACACGCAAAACAATACACGAGACTAAAACAGAAAACACGGAATGGCTCAGTAAGGCAGCTAACACTTGGGGAGTGAAAAATGCAGAACAATACTCGGCAGTGAGAGAGAGGAAGTCCATGGCTTATGTAGCATGTCTGATTGGATTCAGCTGTGTGTGTGTGTGTGTGTGTGTGTGATCAGTGCATTCAGCTGTGTGCGTGTAATCAGTGCAATGATTGATGGGAAATGCAGTCCAGGGTGATGTGTAACAGTCTGTGTGGTGTGAGAGTCAATGTAATGGGAGAATAACCTCTAGTGGCAATCGGCCGGAAGGCCACGGACCGGATTCGTGACAGCTATAGCCCCAGGGCCCTATGTGTTCTTAATCCGGGCCAGACAATCACTATTCTAGCTCAAGGCCTGTGTGATATTTTGATTGGTTGGTGTTTGTCACCTTCTTTTTTTAGTTCTATAGAAAGACACAAAGCTTGTGGCCGTTCTATAAATAGTGACTAAAGAGTTTGTTCAGTGTTTTCAAAGGCATGCCATTACAATCTCAGTGTAAGAACATAATATTTGCTCTTAACAAGTGTCATTACGAAAACCTGACCAGCAAGAAAAAAGTTCTTAAAATAGCCATGAATGACCCAGATAATGGCAGGATTTGTCATTTGTATGTGCGGGAACTTGCATAGTTCCCGCAAATACAAATCTTCAAGTAGTCAAGAAATGCATACTTTTATTCAGAAAGGACACATTAAATGTATTAAAAGCAACAGTAAAGACATTTACGTTACATTACATTTAGTCATTTAGCAGACGCTTTTATCCAAAGCGACTTACAAATGAGGACAATAGAAGCAAATAAAACCAACAAAAGAGCAATATTATGTAAGGGCTGCAACAAGTCTCGCTTAGTCTAACACAGTAAACGTAGCAAGTTTTTTTATATAATAAATAAAAAGAAAACAAGTCGAAAGAATAGAAAAAGAGTAGAGAACGCTAGTATTAGAAGGTCATTTTTATAATAAATAAAAAGAAAACAAGTAGATAGAATAGAAAAAGAATAGAGAACGCTAGTATTAGAGGGTCATTTTTTATAATAAATAAAAAGAAAACAAGTCGAAAGAATAGAAAAAGAATAGAGAACGCTAGTATTAGAGGGTCATTTTTAAAAAAAGAAATACATAATGTTACAAAAGGTTTTTATTTTAAGTAAATGCTGCCCTTCTGAATTTTTCAAAAAAATCCTGAAAACATTTATCACGATTTCCACAAATATTAAGTATGCACAACAACAAACAGCACACGTTTTCAACATATTTAATCATTCTTGAGCAGAAAATCAGCATATTAGAATGATTTCTGAAGGATCATGTGACACTGAAGACTGGAGTAATGATGCTGAAAATTCAGCATTGCCATCACAGAAATAAATTACAATTTAAAATATATCAAAATAGAAAACAGTTATTTTAAGTCATAATATTTCAGAATATTACTGTTTTTACTATTATTATTTTTTAGCCTTGGTGAGCAAAAGAGACTTCTTTCAAAAACATTTAAAAATCTTACTGACCCCAAACTTGTATATATACATGCGGTTGCTTGGGGTTTCAGAGTGGTTTTTAGCGATTTCCTGTTTAGTTTCTATGTTTGTTTGTTTTTGTGATTGCTTATATTAAGGTCCCTAATCATGGCTCTGTGAGATTTCACCCATTTAAAAAACAGTAAATCACTTATAAAAGTAGAAGCACACTTCAGGTATCATTTATGCCAGTGCCACAAACTGTGCAAGATGAATAGCATACCTAACTTCAATACAATATGAAAAAACGTGATATTTGTATTTTGGGGTGAACTATCTCTTTCATGTGTTTATACAGTATGTTATATAGAGTGTGATTGTGTTTCTTTTTTATTTTCTTTTTTTAGTAGCTTGCGATGTTTGATCTGCTGTGCATCTCATTGTAAGCAGTGCTAAGTTACAGAATGATGCCCCTATTAAAATGATCTTTTCCACGAACGAGCAGCATATTCCCAGGTGTCCCGAGCATATTTTTAGATCCCAGCTGGCTGAGGAACATCTGAATTTGCTGACTAACAGCATGGGGATCAGTTTGAAAGCGATAAATCTATTTGTGGTTCATGTGATGCTAACCCCTGAATTAGCTGTGGAGGAGAGACCAGGAACTAATGTATTCTGCATTGATTTTATAATCATTTTTGCTGTTCAGTTAGCATTCCGCTCCATCCGATTAAAAGCCTGTGTCCTAATTTTTCATATTTTAGAAATACTGCTTAATATACAGTATATATTCAGTCAGTGACAGTCATTGAGACACTATTATAGTTGTTATTTTTTATATATTTATTTTTCCATTTTCATTTTCATTTTACTTTAGCTTTAGTAATTTTTTGTGTTACCTTTTCTTTTTATTAGCTTTTCCCCTCAAATATGTCTACATAGTTTTATTAATTTTTATTTTATATTTAGTTATTTTAAGTACATCAAGTTAATAAATATAAATAAATATAAATCATAAATGTTGCCTTGGCAACTAGCTGAAACAAAATAAGGTAAAGTTTTTATACTCTATTTCATTATATTTTATTTTAATCATTTATTTATTAGCAACATATATTTTATGGTATAAGTTCTAGATTAACTTCAATAACCCTGTGGTAAGAATTGTATATTTAGATTAAATTGAGTTTTATATATGAAATACATTATACTTATACATTAAATACCCTCTCTGAGCTATTTTTTGCAGTTATGTACTTCCAACCAGCTGGTCCCAAGGTGATTTTTAGTGAATATATGAAGTAATTCCACTTTTAATATTTTATTATCTAACACAATGACACAGATTTAATTTTGGCTGAAGTGTACAAAATATTTTTTTGGCATTCCCCGTGCCAACTCTAAGTTTATATTTGTCAATTATGCAGCTTCAAATCCCAGATATGCAGCACAGCAATTTTAAAGAGCAGCAACTAAAAATAAGTTGTAGATGCTAGCTTTAGGAATACAGACTGCTCAGAATTTTTTTCTTAATGCACTGCAATGGCAAAGCAGATATGTGCATTAATAATCACTATACCAGCTCTGGTGCTTTAGAGGAAATATGGATGCAGCACTTTATCAACAAATAAATATAGCTGTGTCCTTCTGCTTGGCATGTATATTTCTCAGCATGACTGTGGAAGAAATTTCTATATTTGTATTTCTCGTTGATCTTGCCGGCTCAGAAGTGTCAATCACAGTATGATCACAGCCATTGTATATACTTCCAGTCAGAAAATGAGTAGTTCTTCTTAAGCAAAGGACTCAATCCATCTGACTTCATACATGTAACTGAACAGATATGACAGCCTGGTGTCATAAAATATAAATAATATGTTTTTAACAGTGGCGGCTCGTCGGGGGAGGCAGGGGAGGCACAGCTTCCCCATAATTTTGAGGTGAAAATGGGAGGAGGACGATTTAATGTTAATAAAATTCACAATTAATTTCAGTTCATGTCTCAGAATGTGTATTTTTTGTTTGTAATTTCACAGTTGTAATAAAATAATGTGAAAGCGCCGCTTTTCTATCGCGAATGTGCCGAATCTGCTGATGTAATGGCAACCGCTAATGATAGAGAAGGGGAGGGGGAGGCCGGGGGAGACCTGAGCTCTCGTGCCTCCGTTGGTCACAAAAATTAGCCAATCAGCATCGAGTGTTCACTTTCGGGAGCACAGGAGCTTTTCCCGGTTTGCCGATTGCCGAAATCCCACCACGCCCCCACATATTAGTGTCTGCGCTATTTCATTCCAAAAGATATGAGCGATAAAACATTTTTTGTAGGCTACTTGTTTACACTAGAGTTGTGGGTATCTTTTAAGCGCCTCAGCTTTACTGTAGCGCATGGGAAACAAACACTAAAAGCCAAGTGATGACCGGTTTCTACCGCCGGCACAGTGCTGACAACGACTGCAGCTCGACGCTTTCGCCGCTCTATTGAAGTGATAATAAGCAGCGCTTGCCCATTTGAATTCCACACACGACACTTAGGCTATATTTGAACAGTAAAGTCTCTGTGGTGAAGTTAGCGGAAACCAGACCATGTAAACTGAAGTGTAGAGGTAAACTGTACAAAACTGTAAATAAGCAATTTAATCCACAGCACCACACCTAGTTAACATGCATTTACTGACACTGTAGAAATACGGTTAATGATATTTATTATTAATGTCACAAAAATTGTAATAGGATACTTATAGCCTATTAAATATTGGTTCAAATAACGGCAATAAGTCAATTTTATAAAGGTTTACTAATACTAGTTAACTCTGGATTCAAGAATTAGCTTTTCATTAGGGCAACTACAAAGGACAATTTAATAGTTCTAATAAACTTTAATTGCAGAAAAATATGAATTCAATAATTAAGAGCTTGCGATATAATCGAAGTTTTATTTTATAATTCCGTACAATTAAAAAATAAAACACAAATTATAATGGCATAGCCTATATGTAAAACTTTGTCCTATAATTGTATAGCTGCTTTTTCTGATTTTTATGTTGCTCTGTTCTGAATACCTTAAAATTTAAAGGATTTACTGCAATGCAATTATGATATGTTAATTATTTATATTTTTTATCCATGCAGCAAATGCTTTAAAAACAGCTTTAAAATTACTTTATTGCATTCTAGACGCTTTTATAGTAATTTTCACTATAAATTTAACGGGTAGCTTGAATGTAAACATTGTCATGAATTCGTTGTATTCCCATTTGAAAAATAGCCAACAAATTAATTGTTGTAGGCTAACCCGATCTCCTGCTCACCAAGGCTGCATTTATTTGATAAAAAATACAGTAAATACAATAATATTGTGAAATATTACTACAAAATGTTTTCAACGTAATGCATTTTAAAAATGTAATTTATAATAAAGCTGAATTTTTAAGCAGCAATTACTCCATCATAACCACAATCAATGCATTCAATCAGCTTTTATTGAAAAATAAAAAAAAATAAAAATCAATCAAATGCTCTTTTCCTGTGAACATATTTTGTTGATTCAGCCAAACTAAGATGCAATGTGGACCGGACTTAAAGTTGTTTGTAAAAATAATTAGCATTGCAAGTAAGTATACTGATATATAGGCTATGCATGAGCACTGGCGCATATTCTCTTATAGGATAAGAGAAGGGCAGAATATTTCAGATAAAATACCTGCTAACCTTTGATTCCACATCTTTAATTTATCCCCAGCTCCCCAAATCACCTATTTCAATGTCCCTTGTTGTGCACTGATAAAACAGAGTAATGTTTTGCATGTAATTAAACAGCTTATTCAATTAAAAGATAAAATCTACATTTTTATGTAATTACACAGAGATCACCAAGTCCCACCACTATTTACTAGCATACTGGTTAAGATCAGCGCAAATATGTTGAAACCAATTCACATGTAATTGGATTTTAATTGGAAAATAGGTCATGAATGATCTTGGTTAATGACTTAGGTCACGTAAATGACCCGTCTGAGCTGAAACTGCTGGTCTTGAACCCATTTCAACTCTATGCTTTAGTAATTGAGAGGCCATGGGTTTAAGAGGGAATATATGTCACGTAACACTAGCCTGCTGTTAACGACAACGACAGTCCATAGATGAATAATGACAGCGGGGCTCATGCTGGCTCTATGCAGGTTAATTAGCTGTGATGCTCTTTCAGCTGACATACGATAAGTGCCCGCAAATCCTCTTAGGAAAAAGACCACACTCAAGAAGCTTCAGCTGAAAAGGCCCTGCGATAACACAAGTACACAATATAAGTGTACCGTAGTGATTCGGAATAAGACAAAAACGCGGTTTGGAAGATGAATTCATGATGTACTCGCTCATTATATACATTTTGCAAATTTTGAACACAGAAAAAGTTACATAGTGCTGCTTTAATATTGTTAAATGCATTTTGAGTATTCAAAAATATAATTTGTTTTCGTCCGTTATTTATTAATAAATAAATTATTCCAATTGCCCTAACCCCAGCAAAACATTTATGGGGGACTGTATGGGCCAGATGGGCTGCATTTTAGCACCAGTCCAGCCCTGATGATTCTCCTCTTCTAGGGCCAGACAGCGCAAATATGTTGAAACCAATTCACATGTAATTGGATTTTAATTGGAAAATAGGTCATGAATGATCTTGGTTAATGACTTAGGTCACGTAAATGACCCGTCTGAGCTGAAACTGCTGGTCTTGAACCCATTTCAACTCTATGCTTTAGTAATTGAGAGGCCATGGGTTTAAGAGGGAATATATGTCACGTAACACTAGCCTGCTGTTAACGACAACGACAGTCCATAGATGAATAATGACAGCGGGGCTCATGCTGGCTCTATGCAGGTTAATTAGCTGTGATGCTCTTTCAGCTGACATACGATAAGTGCCCGCAAATCCTCTTAGGAAAAAGACCACACTCAAGAAGCTTCAGCTGAAAAGGCCCTGCGATAACACAAGTACACAACTTCTTTGCACAAACAATATGAAATGTCACACTGAAGTTTCCCTACATGCATATTTGTGCAGATAAAAAGGATTTATTATTTAGTTCATTACACAATTTGGAGTGAGAGCTGATGCTTTACTGAAAAGGATACAATTCTTGTCATCAATGTAGAGTTCAGCAATCTGTATGGAGGGGAAAAAAAAGAGAGAATGTTGTCTGAAAAATGCAAACCTCAAGTGCTTCACAAAATAAAAGACAGAATCTCATAAAAATGTCATGGAGATAATGATTAACCACAAAACAAAACAAAACAAAACAAAAAATTAAATTAAATGAATCAACGGGGACCTGATTATAGCACTTAATACCTGGAAAAGTCAGATTTTCATGATATGTCACCTTTAAGTAAATTAAGCTTTTTTAAAAGACCATAAGAATGGAAGAAGATTTTTCACATCTTGACAGTATTTTTCTGCAATTTATTTACTCATTATTCTATGATGGTTATTATGTTCATGATAACTTTAAAAAAATCCTGTTTTATTTTTTCTTTTTAAGTTTTATATATATATATATATATATATATATATACTGTATATAGTTGATCAATTATGCATTTTTTAGCAATACAGTAATGCATTTTTTAGCAATACAATAATGTAGAAATGTAGAATGTGCTTAAATGACATGAAAATTGTCACAATGCAAAAAAAAAAAAGTTCCTAAAATTAAAATAATTGAAAAATATATTTTCTTTAAGCACAACATAGTTTTATTTTTCTTTATTTATTTAGGCTGCATATGACCTACAGTAAACATGTTTTTAACAGTGGTTGCTCACGCAGATTCACTCGAAAAGTAACATTCTATTTCTTATAACTTTCTCAGATGGAATGTTACAGTTAATGCTAGTGATAAATATTAGCAAATTCTAAATATGTTTTTTTTTTTGTAAGGTCAGCAGCAACTCCGTCTGGCCAATGTCATACCACACATTCCAGTACTCTAGTGCAAGAGCCACTGTTTATATTCTGGACACTGCCTGGGACCCTTATGAATTTCTGACAGTTTAACAGGGTAACCCAGGACGAGTAAACAGGGCTGAGGGTTTTTATCTGATGGACTGTCATCGAATCGAGTCCATGATTAGACAAGAGAAGTGAACACACAAGAGAAAGAAACATGTATTAGCAGCGGACATGAGATAAACTGTACTGATGTTTCATGTAAACACATGATGGAAACCAAATGGTTATTGTAGTAGCTTGAAACACAACGATAAACACAAGCTTGCTTAAGACCATCTCAATCACGTCAACCAAAAGTGAACACACACTCTTTGCATAGGAGTCTGTGTTTGCAATGTCGGCTCATACTGTCAGTGTAGAGCATAAATGTTTCAGAATGCATTTGCCAGTGTAAAATATGCACTGACTGATGGCTAGTTTTAGGTTGGTGTGCCATCAAATCATTAAAAATCTACATGCACAACCAAGAGAATGGGTTTTGCATGCAAACTTCATGCAAACAAATGCATTACTAGTACATTCTGTTCAAATCTACCGATTTAATTTGCATGTAAATGACCCTTTCTTAAATGTAAAGCCCATTAGAATAGGTTCTATCCCATAATGCATCATTACAGCGCTCCATCCTGCAGGGCTCACCTGATGCAGGCAGTTGGGAAGCGAGTGGAAGCTCTGCACATGTGTGAGTCCCAGCAAGCAGCTCAAAAAGCAGTGCAGAGCAGCTTGGGAGTCTCCCTCCTGCTGGAGCTTCCTGCCCAGTTCAAACAAACCCTCACGGCTCCCGTTCAGCATCCCGTGCTTGGGATGGCCCGCCAGAGAGACCTGCCGTTCACGTGCCAGACAAACGCTGGTGCACTTACGTCTCCCATCTCAGCTGCGGCACGGGCATGGAGAAACAGTCCGGAGGGATGGCGCGGTAAACACACAGTCAGAAGCAGAGATATCGGTCGCTGCAACCTCAAAATAGGAACAGAATACGGCTTCTCCTCTCCCTCCTCCTACGATCCGTAAGAGTCAAGGGCAGGAGGGTGCGTGGGAGGGATTGTGGAGACGGGACGCTGCTGCATCGCAAAGAGCAGAGGAGGAAGTCAGGACTCAGGACTTGAGAGGATTTGTCGGTTGAGTGACGCTGCTCGCAGCCAATTGTTGTACAGCCGTACAGATGGTGGACTCTTTTTCCAAGTTTTAAAGGAAATTCAATTAGTCACTTCACACTGCAAGTGGCGAGACTAAAAATGAAGTCTTTGCATATGTTATTTTTGGGAGATTAAAGGGATAGTTCACCAAAAGAAAAAAAAAAGCTGTTTATCAGTTAAAGTCTGTTCATGGTTTATTCAGTGACGTCATCGTCCAGCTCAGTTCAGTTCTCTTCAAATTGTGTCCCCAACTAAGCAAGCCAAAGGTGACAGTGCAAGGAACCAAAACTCCATCTGTGACAGAAATTAAAAAAGAAAAGAAAAAAAAAAAAAACTTGGGAGAAACCAGGCTCAGTCGGGGGGCCAGTTTTCCTCTGACCAGCAGAACAGTAAAAAAAGATTTTAAGCTGAAACCATGGTCCTTGGTGATTCATAAAATGCAAATCAGCAGCTACCAGCACTTTAAGAGTCAAAAAAAGCAAATACAGGCAGGACAAAATTAATACAGTGGCTCCTGATGATATATTGAGGTCTTATGAAGTGAAACAATCGGTCTGTGCAAGAAACTGATAATTATTTACAACATCATTACCTGTAATCTATAGCCACAGGCAAATGGGAAAGTCTGATTCTTTTCCGCAAACTGGTTCTTTCAGACATTTCGTTTCAGTTAACTGGTTCATATAACTGATTTACAAGTTCATTTACATAATCACACAATAATAATAATAAACTTTATTTTCTACAGTGCCTTTAAAAAGTAGCATATCAAAGCGCTTCACAAGAATAAGATTAAATAAAACATACAATTATACAAACAATGCATTAAAGAAAATGAGATACAAAAGTAAAATACCAGATAAGAACATGCAATTAAAAGTTCAACAAGTAAAGAGAGAAATCTGACAATTACAAAATAATCAAGTAAAGGCTACCATAAAAAAAAAAAATAAATAAACTTTAAGGGAAGATTTTAAAACACTAAGGGTCTCTGCTTGCCTAATCTCAGCAGGCAAAGAATTCCAAAGTTTTGGAGCAATTGAAGAAAACGCCCAATCACCCATAGATTTTAAACGAGTAAGCGGAACACTTAAAAGGCCAGCTTCCGAGGAGCAGAGATCACGTGCTGGTGTATAGGGAGCTAAAATCTCAGAGAGATAATGGGGAGCCAAACCATGCAAAGTCTTATAAGTAAGCATGAACATTTTAAAATTGACACAAAATCTGACAGCGAGCCAGTGTAATGACTCCAAGACAGGAGTGATGTGATCCCTTGTCCTGTTTCCAGACAGGATTCGAGCGGCTGAATTTTGAACCAGCTGTAATTTATTTAGGGTAGCTTTTGAAACGCCGGCCAGCAAAGCATTTCAATAATCAAATGTGAGAAAATACAAAGATGTTGATTAACTTTTCGGCCACCAGGAATTACAACATATAGGACACAATCTGGCAATATTTCTAAAATGAAAAAATGATGTCTTGACAGTGTTCTGAACATGGGGAACAAATGTTAAATGAGCATCAAATATCACCCCCACATTTTTACATTTTGTGTGAAATTCCAGTGTAGAGCCACTTAAACAGTTAAAGACCCAGCCTTACATAGCTGGTGGGGTGAACCAATGAGCATTACCTCCGTCTTGTCACTGTTTAGACACAGAACATTTCTAGACATCCACTTTTTAATCTCAGAAATACACGGAAAAAGAAAAGACACAGCCAACATCAGGTTTTGAATGAGTGTCATCTGCATAAGAGTGAAAGTTGAGACCAAGTGATCTTAAAAGTTGACCAAATGGATAAATGTAGATGCTAAAATGTAAAGGGCCCAAAATTGATCCTTGAGGAACTCAATTTCAGTCTCATCTGCCTCAGAATCTTCAAGGTGCATTTTGGCAAAGCTCAGTCGTGACTGCATGTGGCCTTTCTTGAGGAGTGGCTTTTTTCTTGCAACCCTCCCATACAAGCCACATTGGTGGAGAATTTGTGATATTGTTGTCACATGCACACAATGACCACTCTTTGTCATAAATACCTGCAACTGCTTCAGAGTTGCTGTAGGCCTCTTGGTTGCCTCTCTGACCAGTTTCCTCCTGGCTCTTTCATCCAGTTTGGAGCGACGTCCTGATCCTTTTTCCAACTTCTGTTATGTAATTATTTTAAAGGGGGGTGATTCTTTTGTGTTTGAAACGATTTATGATAGCATATAATTGATTATAACGTTTATAAAGACAAACTTTAAAATGCATTTTACATACAAGCTTCATAGAACGTTTTTGAAAACAAAAAGTTGAAAATGAAAAAGCAGAAACCAAGAAATGTATAAAATAACCATAACAATTTAGCATAATTATAAAAAGGCACACAAAACATGACATGTGTATGTGTGTGTGTGTGTGTGTGTACTGCATGTACTGTGTATCCTACGTAGGTGACAGAGTCTTTTACTGTCTAAACAAGGACATCTAATATTTATTTACATGGGTGGGGTGACTTCAATGTTTACTGTTCTCTCACAGTCTGGTTATAAATGTTGAGCTTCAGTCATTATGTCCTCTACAACTAATGCAGATGATAGTCTTGTGTACATAAATCATAATTGCTTCCTGTCTAACAGAAACAGGAGCAGTCAATGATATCACCCAGATTACTCAGCTACCGGGATCATCTGCTATTTAAAAAAAAGCTTTCTCTGGTTCACATTTAGTCTTTGTGTATATTACCATGGCAATCATGTCTCTGAAATAAAGTTTTAGTCCAGTTCTGCTGGACTTTAAACGACTTGTCCTGTTTGTTATATAAATCTGTCTGAACAGTTTGTTCTTCAAGTCAAGAGTTACTCTGTAAAACAGAAATAATGAGAATCTGTTTCTTGCATTCCATTTTACATTTTCCATTGGCTTCCATTTTACATTTTGTCTTGGACATTTGTCAGCAGACAAATTTAACAAATCACTCCATGAGTTCACATTATATTCTTTTCTTTAACTTTTTGGGTGTAGCTGTTGTGTAAAAAGTGAACACACACATTGCATTAAAATGCTTTTGTTGTACTTGTGCCTTATTGTGAGGTGGCCTGTTTTAGAAGGAGTAAAGAGTAAAAAAAAAAAAGAATAAATAAATAAATAATGTTTATGGGCATTTCCGTTAACCCTAAAACACAACCCAATGCAGTGCAAAATACAGGTAAAACACCTGTAAAGAAAAAAAGAAAAGAAAATTATTTCATTTTAATATATAATAACAATATTATTGTTAAATAAAAAAACAATTTAGATAAAATATGTGGCCATAACTACAATCAAAAATAAATAAAAAATATTTTATGTAAATATTATATTTAAACATCTGTATGAGCAATATATTTTAGTCATGTTTTTGTATATTTTGAAACATATTTAATATCATACCTGAATGTATGTATGTATTTATTTGTTTGTTTGTATGGTGCAGTTTTTATGTGGTTGCTTACAGGCCCAAATAATAATAATAATGATGATAAAAAACCTCTCTTTTGATTTACATCTGTGGCATTTAATTACCTGTTTTATTACCTGCAAGGTGAAAAATCATAAGTTAGATCACTTAGAAAAATAATGAGCAATAAAAATGATGCTTGCTTGGAACATTGATTAATTCAATTGAGTTAAAACACAGATGTTTTAATAAATGTACTGAAAATAAAATAAAAAAGCTACAAATAATAGGCCTATAATGCAAGAATTCACCCTCTATAGGTAATATTTGATAGGAACACTTTTGGAAGCAGCAAAACATCTTTAAGTATGTGTCTATCAGTATTGCATGGTGTGATGCTGACATTTTTTATTTTTATTTATTTCTTTTTTTGTTTTTGGCAAGTTGGATGAGGGCTATTTATGAACAACAATTTCTGAGGTCAATCCATTGGACTGAGGTGTGGGATTTGACTGGGCCACTATTGGATGTTAACCTCTTTGATTTCAAGCCACTCTGTAGTGACTTTAGCTGTATGTGGCTGCTCTGCTGGAAGATGAATTGTTTTCCAAGTACATGTGCTCATGGGACTGCAGCACTATTTCCTACAGTTTTTTATTTGCATCCATCAATTTTTCCTTCTATCTCAGTTAATTTCCCAGTCCCTGTTGTAAACAAGCATCCCCAAACACAATGCTGCATCACCATATTTCAAATGCTGCTCTGCTTGAGACATGATGAGCTTTTTCAACAAGGGTTTACGTTCTTTCCATTCATGCCAGATTTATGAATAGCGCATGCTATTATTTATATCATGTCTCTTCTTCAGTTTCTTCTTCAGTTTCTGTCTTAAATAGCTTTTTCTGATCTGACGTACTTCATTGTGTATGAGCTATATCAGTGCATTATATGGTTTGCTTACATAATTTCCTTGAATTTATTGTCCCATAATTGTTCCTGTAGTGTGCCTTGAATCTACTTGGAATATCTGTTGGTGTTCAAGGTAGAGAAGATTTGTGTGAGAAATCAAAACCAAACTGTCTGTCTGTCTGTCTGTCTGTCTCTACTGCACACTTGATTCTTTCTTTCTTTAAATTTATTTAGTCAATTAACAATATATATACAGTACACAGTAAATAGACTAATAGTACACTTTCCTATTTTTTAGTTTAAAAGAAATATACTAATAGCACACTTGAATAAACTTCTTTTTCGTAAGGGTCTTCATGCTTTCAACTAGGAGATCTTGTAGAGAGCCTGTTTGAGGCGTTAAATCAAATAAACTAAATTACCCCAGCCTACATTTTCTCAAATTTACAGGTTTCACTTGATAGATGAATCCTTAATTGAAGGCAAATTAAATATAACTCTAAAACAACTTCATTTCTCTGAAGTGGCTCTTGCATTGAAAGTCTTGCGATTGCAGCGGGAATTAACTCTCATTGCAATCGGTTGTAATAATGGCTTTTTAGCTTGAGGGAAATTTCTTACTCTTACTGTATGACATTCAATC